GAACACAGACCTGAGATTGAGTTTTGTGGGATGAGCTGTACTTGTCCAGTATGGAGAGCAAGCCTACTCAAGATGGTAAAAATGGGTTGGGAGAAGGAGAAGCAGCAGGAGTTGTCAGGGCATGTCCTTAAAGTCCAGCCTTATGACTGTAGGAGTAAAAGGAGATGGATTGGGGAAGATAGCTTGGTTTTTTATTTTGTTCACAAAAGTTTTAACCATATCCAGAAGATAGGGAGAAGTGTTGAAGGTTTGCTTTTACTTGGATTTCAAGAAAAATAGCTTATCATTCTGATAAAAACAATGCGTTTTTATTGTAGAGAATTTAAGCAATACAATGGGGGAAAAGCACAAAGAAAAAACATTTCAAAGTCACTAGACCCCTTTATCTAAACATAACCATTATTAGCATTTAATTAACATCATTATGAGTATCTTTTATGCAGACAGGATAGTAAATAAGTATATAAATAGATATATCTACTGGGACCCTCCCTGGTGGCACAGTGAGTTAAAGCTCAGCACTAAGAAGCTAGCCACAGCCACCCTAACAGGAATTCAAAACATGGCCAGGGAGGTGACCCACATGGGGTGGCAGACCTCTCCTGACCCACCCACTGCTCCCTTCAGGGTCTCTGGTGAATCCTCTCATTGCTCCTGAACCTCTGGCTTGTAACCCAGTTCTGTACACATAAATAAATCTTAAAAAAAAATAGATACACCTACTTTTCAAAAATGGTATCATTATACTTACTAGCAGGAGAGATACCTTGATCGCAAAAGTGGTTTTCCTGCAGAGAAGCTCATCCATTGCACTCCAGTGTGTTGACCCAAAGTAGGAAACTTGACTGCATAATTTGTGGTGTGGGGAAATTCATTTGCATTCTTCCCTGGAAAAATAAAATTTTATCATTATGTATGTGTTATTAAAAATTTTCAAAAATATTAAATTCAAGCTTACTTGTACTTAACAGAGTAAGAAGAAACTTTAAAAAAACTGGAAACTATAAAAGGCTTATTTACTACAAGAGTTATTGTTCCTTAAAACATAGATGTAAAATTAGGAAACGAAATTTTGATATTATGGGTTTTTTTCTTTAAAAAAAAAAACTAATTTAAATCAGTGTCAATTGACCCTGTTACAGAAAATCAGGACATCAGCACACTCACACCATCCTATCACCCCTTCCCTTAGAGTCCAATATTTCTTTGTTACATTATTTTACATTGTTAATTTGTGTGTCACATTTTCTCTAAAATAGTACATGTTCTCTAAACTACACATGTTCAGTATTAATTTTGTTTTCAGGGCTTAATGCTCATCACAGATCCTCTTGTGTTTTTTCATTTCTTAAAGTCTTAACTTTCTTATTTCTTAATTGACTGAATTTCATTTTCAAGTATTTCTTTTTTCTATGAGTTCTTTTATATTTGCAGGACTGTGTCTAATGCCTTCATTTTCAAAGGACATATTGGGTGGGTATAACATTCTTGAATCACACTTTTGTTTTTTTAGAACTCTAGTCAGTGCTCCATTGTCTTCTGTTTCTGGGTGTTGCTGTTAAGAAATCTAAGGGCAGCCTGTTTCCTTATAGGTGATTTGCCTTTTCTGCCTGGATGCCTGAATATCAATAAATTAACATGTCTCAGGTTGAATTTTTATCAAAATGTCTTGTTTGGACATCACTAGTTACAGATAAATTCATCATGCTAAAAGAAACTTTTGTTTTTATATATTTGAATATTTCTGTGGTGTTTCCATAGTGGGTGGGTAGAAGTCTGGACTCTGAATACTTCTTCTATTCCATTTAATGAGCTCTTAAATGCAGGGACACCAATAACCTCCATCCTCCATATCTATTAGTTGCTCTCTGATTGCTTTAATCTGTTTGATTTTCATTTGCCTTTACAATGATTATTTTTCAAATCTTGCCTTCACGTCAAAATTCCACTTTGTGTCATGTTTATTCTGTTGTTTGATGTGTTAATCAGTTCTATAATATTATTATTTTGATCTCTTTTATTAGATGTACTATTTTCCTATTCATCTATTTCAACTGTTTTATTGTCTCATATTTGAGTTCTTTGGAAAGTGAGCTCATTTTAATTTTAATTACTCCAGAGCTCAAAGCACTTGGAATGACCATTTTCTGCTGCTTTACTTACCTGCTTAATTCCCATTTTATATGAAATTTGTTTTTCTAATAAGTTACAGTGTGAGGGCTGTTATTTTATGATGCATGTACTTTTTCTATGCTTTATAAATTTTTCTGTAGGAGAGGAGAGGGCAGAATTGAGGGTGTTGGTATCTAATCTTTGTTAGAAACCTATGTTCTACAGTCACTTATGAAGTTTTACATGTCTATTACAGTGTTTACACTACTTGAGGTTGATGTATTCCATTCATGTCAGAAAGTCTGTTTCTGACTATTCCCACAGTTCAGTATAATTCCCTTTTATCTTCTCTCCAGTAATAATTTTTCTATTTCCAGAGAGAAGATAAGGAAACTACTTAACTTCCTTTTCTCTTAGACTATATGTGCATATGTATGTGATCATTCCTAGGATATTATGGAACTAACATTATCAGTTTTGATGGAATGGAGGCAAGACTGTAAGCCTTATGTTCTAGACCAGAATTTTCTATTTCATTCCTTGACTGCCACTTGTTGACATTTAAGATACTGAGTTGTTACCCATTGTTTACTATGGGTATAATTTCTAACTTTTAAAACTTTCTTAGGTATTAGTGAAAAAAAATCTATGAGAAAGTTTTATTTCATGATCTTACTTGTAAGTATAATAATTTTTAATATGTATCTTTATTTTTAATTGTTATAATTATAAAACTACATATCTAGATAGATATGTTATATATGTAGATATAAAACTACATATCTAGATAGATAGATTATGTTGCATACTTAAACTAATATAATGTCTCATGTCAATTATATCTCAGTAGAACTGGGGAGGAAGATTGGGAAAAGATAAAAAGATATGTCATGTATGTAAAAATTCAAACTACTTAAATATATATAAGATAAAAAGTTAAAGTTCCTTATAGAACAACTGCGAGACAGTCACTTGAAACAGTTCTCTAATCTTATATATATACTTTTTTTTTGGTCAGTGCCTCAACCTTTCAGTGAAAATCACTAGAAATGCATATAAAACAGCTTTATTTAGGCAGACTTTACATACCATAAGATTCACCCATTTCATATGTATAATCTAATGATTTTGCATAAAGGTGTTGCAAACATAAAAATAATATACATATACACATGTATATAATACATTTATTACATATACATGTATCCATTGCACATGTATATACACATATATAACATACATACGTGTATGTAATATACATACAGTACCTAACTGATACTGTTAAGTCCATAACACAGTTACTTTTAAAATTCCTATTTACTATACTCTCCCAGTTCTAAAATGTACATAACCATATGTATAGCATGCTAAACATGGCTAGGAAGCAACTTTTGAGATACTTTGATTAATTCTGTTCCTGTCAGTTGAGCTATCTAACTTCCAAATGTCAGCGTTATCTCACTAATGTATATCTGTGATATTAACTATCATAATTTGTTTTTTGAAAACTTTTGAAATATATGAATATAAAGATAAAACATTTTCCACGAAAACTTAACTGAGTGTTTTGGAATGGCTTGCTGAAGGCAAGGTGTTAAAATTGTTGTTTTAGGTATGGATGAGAAATATGTAGTTGGAAAAAACAATATGCATCTAGAAGAATTCAGCATTCGGATTGTTTCACAGTGCCTCCAGTTATCATTCCACTTTAAAGAACTCATAGATGAACTGTTATAGGCAAGAAGCACAAATCACTCTAAGAAGCACTTCAGAGGATCCATGATCACAGAAAAAGTCTGAATCTACTTCAAAAGGCAGGTGGAGGAACTTATAGTCTATAGTAAAAGAAAATACAGTTTACAATAAGCTGATTTTTCTTAAAATAAACAAAACTGTATATTGTATAATATCTTATGATTATGCATTTTCAACAAACTAATCAAAAATCTCAAAAGCATCAGATAATATGGCTTCTGGTAGGCGTGTAGCCAGTTTTTCTTTTACAATATATGGAGGACATTTTTTGTGTGTGTCACTATATATAAATCTATCTTGTCGTTTATAAACCTGCCTCATATTCTTCATTGCGTAGTGGATGCACCCTAATTACTAACCTACCTATTAAAACTATTTTGATGTGTTTCTGAAAAAAATTGAGGCGGGAACAAAGATAAGGAATAGAACATAAAATGGTTTTGCAGGGGGTGGGGAAGAGGATGTGTGGTGCAGGACAGGAAGTGACAGTGGCTTTTTCCATCACCCTTACACATGCAACAGATGCTCTTCAGTCTCGAAACCCTGCCATTTCTAGAAAACCCACTGCGCTTTTCTTCCTTTCTACCCTAGCTCATAGTCTCCCCCCCACCCCCCCGCATTTTATCTCTGCCTGTTGAAAGCCTATTTTCCCTTGAAGATCCCGAACAAATACGTAACACGCAGCCACGAGGACTCCTGGCTGCAAATCATCCCTCCACCTGCTTTCTAATAGAGATAAATCATTCCGTCCACAAAGTACTGCCTTTCACCCAAAGGCAGAGCAGTGCTGTGGTTACAAAGGACGGCTTCGGACCAAACAGTATGCTATACCTGTCATCTTGGTATCTTAATCAAATTCTCAGTGTCTCAGTGTCCTGACCTGTACAATGGGGAGAAGGGCATATGCAGACTTCTTAAGACCATTAAGTCGGGTAACAACTGTAATGCACTTCGAATGTACAGTAAGAGCTGAATGAACGTTGGCATTCATTTGCACTCATCGTGGTTGGGGGTCTACTTTGAGCAACATACCTGTACCGACGACCACTTCACCTAGCGCACAGGGATGGGAAAGGTTTCCGCCCCGCCCCAGCTAGCGCCTGACCTAGCGCCGAGCGCGGTCATGTGACTCAGTCAAGATGGCGTCGCCCAGCGCGTTGTGGCTCCTGGCTGCTGTCCTCCTACCCGCGTCTTGCGCTGCCGCGGCGCTAGGGAGTCTCGCCCCGCCAGCGCCGCTGCCGCTGGTGATCTGGCATGGGATGGGTGAGTGAGTAACTACGTGAGTGAGAAGAGGGTCAAAGGGTTTGGTGACTCTTTCCCTCTCTCGTCGAGGGTTCAAGTCCACAAAGTGCTAGTGTAGAGAGCGAAGGTGGTCACTTAGGACCCGGCTGTCGCGATGTTTTAACATTCGGGGACTACTCTACTTTGGAAAGTTGCGTTGTTGGTGTGCGCGCACAGAGGATTTTTTACCTGCGGCGCGCTGCGCTAGCGTTTAATCCGCACAGCATTTGCGTGAGTGCAGCATCTGGCGTTCGCTCACGACAGCTGGTCTGGGGCTATATAACCGGCTGGTCCGTCTTTTTGTTCATTCAGTTCAGAATCAGCAGGCACCAATAGTTCATTTATACATTTAGCACATAGTTATTGATCACTTATTGGATGCTGAAGATTCAGTAGTGAATGAAATAGACTAAATTCTGTGCTCTTTTGGAATTTAGCAAGGGAGAGACAGATTGTAAAGAAATAAATAAGAATAAATAAAGAAGAATATACTGTAACAGTGGAAAATAAAACAAGGCGAGAGTAGAGACTGGAGGTGGGTGTTTGCAATTTTATAATGGATTCACTGAGAACGTGATACCGAGGAAACACTTGAAATGGTTGAAGGGAAATATCATATGGATATCTGGTAGGAAAAAAAACAGCAAATCAAAGACCCTGAGGCAGAATTGTGTCTGGTATGTTAGAGAACCAACATTCTGTGGAACAGAATGAGCAAGAAAGTGGCGTTAGAGATGTCACTGGGCCTACAAAGTCTACTGTAGGGACAGGCTACAATGAGATGGAAAGGATTTTGAACAGACGAGTGGTAAGATAATTTACTTACACTTTAAAGAACCACTTTAGTTGCTGTACTGAGAATAGATTGTAGGGGTTCGTGGGCTTTTGCGATGAGACACATTAGGAAGCTATTGAAATAATTTAAACAACAGCTTGGGATGTCTTGAAACTGATACTAAAGATCCTAAGCGGTGGTAAAAATTTGGAATATTTTGAATCAGTGGGGTTTGCTAACAGATTAGTTGTGGATGAAAGAAAGAAAGGAGTCAAGGATGATCCTGTATGTTTTGGTCTGGACAATTGAAATCATGAAGTTGTCATGTTACCAAGATGGGGAAGCTTGTAAAGTGAGCAAATTTGGGGTGAAGATCAAGAATCTGCTTTTGGACTTAGTAAATTTGAGATGCTTGTTAGACATCCAGATGATGTTGTACAGGACTTTGTGGAGTACAAAGTCTAGGACAGAGACAGGTTGGAGATTTCAATTGGGTCTTTGGCATATGGCTGGTATTTAAAGTCAGAAGATTAGGCAAGATCACCTGGGGGCATTTGGATGTGGAAGAGCTGAGAAGGACTGACAAAGGAAACAGTGATAAAACAACCAGGAAAGTGGAGAAGGGGGAAGGGTGCAAAGTGCAAGTGTTTCAAGAGGAAGGCTGTGATCAACTTTATGGGATGTTGACAGGTAGAGTCAAGTAAGGTGGACAATTGGCTAGTGAATTTAGCAATATGAAGGATACTAATGACTTTGAGAAAAGTAGTTTGGGGGGAGTGTTGAGAGAGCGTTTCTGGAATAGTTAGTGAAAATGTTCACAGAAATTCGTCAGCAAATATAGATAGTTCTTTTTAAGATTTGTGCCAGGGCCTGGGGCTACTACAGTGTAATACCAGGTGATCTGTGCTCTCTCAGAGCACAGTCAGTCCCTTTGGGCAAGCAGGTAAGTAACCAGCAGTTCAGTGTAGTTAAAGTTTTAATGAGAGAAATGGAAGATGCTCTAGGCCTTAGCTCTTCTTTTTTAAAAACCAATTCTCAGCTTCCTCTCACATTGAAATGGGATGATTGAAATGGAAAATGACTTCAGTTCACTTCTCCACTCAGTGACTGCGATTTTGCTTCCTATTATTTGTTCTTCTTCCTTAAAAACAGGAAAAGAAACAGAACTAGGTCTAGGTCTAGGGTTAAAAGGCAGGGAGGCCCTCACTCTCTGGTTGGTACATGTTCAGGGTCAGCACTGAGAGTGAATGCTTTCTTAAATTTTGTGTTCCAGGGACTTCACTTGTCTTACTCTAATTCCACAGAGAAATTAGATTCCAAAGTGGTTTTGAATTTCTTAACCCCAAATGTACCAAAATGATAATGGGGACATACGCTCCTCTTTAGTTTTCAGTTGTATATTTCACGCCCCTGTTAGATTGCACGGGCTGTTGTTTCAACAAACAGCAAGTTTGTTGTTACTTGATAAATAGGAACTAAAGAAAAAAGTGTTCCTTTTAAAACTGTTGAGGTATAATTTATATAACATACAATTAATTAGTCATTATACAATTAGCTTTTGTATACAATATATACAATTCAGTGACATTTAGTGTATTCTCAACATTGTTCAGCTACCACTTCTCACTAGTTTCAAAACTTTTAATCACCCCAGCAAAAAAAGATCTCCATTAAGTAATAATTCCTTACTCCCCATTCTTACCACCCCGTGGAAGTGTTCTGTCTGCTCTCTGTCTCTTTGGGTTTGCCTATTCTGCATAAATCATATAAAAGGTATCATATAATATGTAACCTTTTGTATGTGGCTTATTTCACTTAGAATAATATTTTCAAAGTTCATTCACAGTGTGCCATGTGTCAGTACTTCATTCTCTTTTATGGCTGAGTAATATTCCATTGTATGTATATACCATACATATACATCGTTCATCAGTTGAGGAGCATTTGGATTATTTCCACCTTTTGGCTGTTATAAATAATGCTGTTATAGGGCCCTCTCTAGTGGCGAAACAGGTTGAAATGAAGCACTATGAAGCCATCCCCAGTCACTACAACAGAAATTCGATCCCCAGCCAGGGAGGTGACCCACATATGGCATAGCAGATCTCTCCTCTCTGCTGCACCCCTCAGCAGTGGATTTCAGTAGATCTGCCTGTTCTGCTTCTCACTCTGTCGCTGGTGAATCCTCTCAGCCTCCTCCACCCCCCAGCCTATATCCCAGTTCTTGTATGTGTAAATAAATAAATCTTTAAAAAATAATGCTATTACAAATTTTTAGGTACAAGGTAGAAAACTAGAAGGGAAATTCCTGGACCATATGGTAATTTTGTATGTTTAATTTTATGAGGACTCACCAAACTACCCTTTCTGACACTTGTTATTTTCTAGTTTTTAACATTTCTCCTTCAAATTAGAACTTTAGTAGTTGTGAGATGTTATCTCATTGTTTTGCATTTCCTTGATGACCAGTGAAGTTGAACATCTTTTCATGTGCTTGTTGGCCATTTATGTATCTTCTTTGGAAAAATGTCTATTTAAGTCCTTTTCCCATTTAAAAAATAAGCTTACCTTCTGGTGAAGTTGTAGGACTTCCTTGTTTATTAGAAATGTTAAACCTTTATCAGATACATATTTTATAAATCTTTACTCCCATTCTGTCTGCTGTCTTTTCACGTTCTTGATAAAGCCCTTAGAAGCACAAAAGTTTTTTTTAAAAATAATACTGTTTTTGGCCCTCCCTGGTGGCGCAGCGGGTTGGGGCACAGCACTGAGAATCTGGGGCCGCTTCCGCATGGGTTCGATTCCCGCCTGCCCCGGAGGTGACCACATGGCGTGCCAGACCTCTCCTGACCCGCCCGCTGCTCCCCTCAGCAGTGTACTTCGTCGATCTGCCTGTTCTGTTCCCCACTCTGTCTCTGGTGAAGCCTTTCGCCGCCCCTGAGCCTCTGGCCTGTGCCCCAGTTCTGTATGCACAAATAAATAAATCTTTAAAAAAAAAAAAAAAAAAAAAATAATACTGTTTTGATTCACGAGTTCCCATCATTCTCTGTGTTGTCTAGGAGATAGCTGTTGTAATCCCTTAAGCATGGGTGCTATTAAAAGGATGGTTGAAAAGAAAATACCTGGAATTTACGTCTTATCTTTAGAGATTGGGAAGACCCTGATGGAGGTAAGGTCCTTCACAGCTGTTTCTTGGGAAGTTTGCTGCTGATTTCATTGAATGTACTGTTAAAATGCTTTGCATTGTATTACATATATAATTTACATCATTGTTCATTTCTGTACAATGCATACTTATATGCTCTTTGCTTTCAGGAGTAGTCCCTATAAAGTTCCCACCACCATTTACCTGAGATCCATCACCATGTCCTTTGTGCTCTTATCTCCTTTGTTTTGATTCCTCTACCTCCTCCTCCCTTGCAGAATGTCTCTGCTTTATATTTCCCTGCTATTTTTTTTTTACATTGTATTTTTAACAGCAAACCATACAGTGATTTTTAATTATTGGCTCATGCCAGGATGCCAACCCAAACAAGTTCACTTCTTAGAAAAGCTGCTGGTGGTTGTTTTCAGTCCCATGCTTTCATTCCTCTGTGACTCCTCTTTTAGGATGTGGAGAACAGCTTCTTCTTGAATGTGAATTCCCAAGTCACGACAGTGTGTCAGATGCTCGCTAAGGACCCTAAGTTGCAGCAAGGCTACAATGCAATGGGTTTCTCCCAGGGAGGCCAGTTTCTGTAAGTCTCTGATAGGCCATACCGCTTATAGGAACTGACTTTTCCCCCCTTTTAGTACATGATCCACTCCAATTCTTTTGGGCTCTTCACCTAATTCTTGAGGGAAATGATTCTAAAATGTTGTTTCATGTAGAAAACTTCGTGGAACTTATTTTTTATGAAATAATAAAGAGTCATGTTCAGCCACATCAGAGGAAAAATTCTGAAATCTGTGCCTTGGGGAACCATAGGTTTCAGTAGCTTTGTCTGGGAAGTTGATAGTTGATGCTATGTTTCCATCTGACCAAACTGATGATCCTTTTTTCCCCAGGAGGGCAGTGGCCCAGAGATGCCCATCACCTCCCATGATCAATCTGATCACATTTGGGGGACAACATCAAGGTAACTTGTCCCATTGCCTCTTTTTTCTCTGGCCTACCCTGTATCACCATTTAATTTTTAAAAGTTCAGACAAATCTGTTTGTATAAGAAGTCAGCTATCCTTGCAAAAACCTGATGTTTTTAGTGCATAACAAGCTAACCAGCACTAATTAAGAAATAGGGGATACTTAGGAGTCTAGAGGATGGGAACACCAGTAAATCATTAGGTTGATATTTACCTCTCGCCAGTGTTACTAGCATGAATTTGTGGAGGTCGGATGGATGTAGCCATGGAGCAGGTGATGGTTGAGGACTTAGGAAATTGTAACCAGCCTTTCCTGGTGATATACTACTGAAGTTAGGCTTAGGCAAAGAATAGTGTCTAGGCTTTTTTAGTCTATAAAATTTGCAGGTAGGATGAAAGCTTTAAAAAATAACAGGTTTTCTGTTTAAAGGGAAATGAGGTTAGACACTGTTTGAATCAAGGTAGAAAGATAAGACTTCTAATTAAGGCCTTCGCAATGCGATGTAGCCAGCCAATACAGTAGGAAGAAAGGGAGAGAAGCTATACAGGTCCTAAATTAGGTAGGAAAGAGTATGGGAACAGTAGGAAGAAGCTGGTTATAATATTAACTCTCAATACACTCTATATTCTTTTTTAAAATAATATAATAGTTTATTTTTACATCATTTTGTGCCTTTTTCCATCTCAGTTGTAATCCCCGTGGGCTTCTCATCACCCGTGTGCCATCACCATAGTCCAGTGCATCTCCCTCCCCCCACTGTTTTTGATCCCAGTCCCCACTCCACCCCCGTAAAATGTCTCTGGTATATAGTTGTTCATTATTATTATTATTATTTTCTCCCCTGGTCCTTTATATTCCTGCTATGAGTGAAACCATCGGTATTTTTCCTTTTCTTTCTGGCTTATTTCACTAAGCATGATCCCTTCCAGCTCCACCCATGTTTATTTATTTATTTTTTGGTTGCTGAGTAATATCCCATTTAATACACTCAACTCTTAAGGACTAAAATAATGAAACCAGGGTTGCGCTCCAGTTTGTCACTGTTTTACACAGTGACTTGCACACAGTGATGTAGTTTTTGGAGAAGAGCTTGGTGTATGGAGTCCTCGGGTTTTCTCTGGGAAAGGTTCCCCAGAGCTCCCCTTTCAGCAACATGTGGTGAGTTTCCCAGGTGATTTTCTGCACGAGACAGATGTCAGTTATATTTCAGAGCAGGTTTATTAGGGGAAAGGGACAGACAAATAAAGGCCACTTGGTTAAACACAAGTGAGCAGTAAGAGCTGCCCTGAAAAGGATAGCTTTGCAGCCTTCATGGTCGCGGGCAGACAGCCTTGAGAAGAGCGGCCTCTGCTGAGGGAGATCAATGCAGAGAAGCCCCAGCAGGGTGCAGATAATTGGCAGGCAGGAGGCTGCTGCCCTGCAGAGGGAGAGAGGGGGTGGAAAGAAGCTCTTGCATAGGCACAGGTGGGCAGAGGACTGCTGCCCCAGGTCGAGACTTCACTGATAGAGTCCTTTTCTCTTTGGGAGGGGCTCACTCCTTTGTGGGGTGGCCTGTTTGCTGCTGATTTTGGATGACTGTGTGGAATCGTGAAGGGACCAGAGCTTTCACAGTGGGTCCAGATCTCTGTATCTTTAACTCTGAGGTTCTCTGCTTCACTACAGCAGACACCGCCTACAGGAGTCTGATACCTGTTTGGGTCTTCTGCCTTGTGATAAGGCACTAGGGCTCTTGATATCTGTGGCTGGGTTAATGGTCATGTTAGTCCCTTCTGCCCCCACCTCCTTGTGTGAGTCAGGTTTTTACCTTGTGATGTCACCTTCAGGTTTTCTTTTCTCGCCTAATCATTCAGTACACGAAGACTGAAAGAGTGACTATTTCTTTACTTCTGTAGGTGTCTTTGGACTCCCTCGATGCCCAGGAGAGAGCTCTCACATCTGTGACTTGATCAGAAAAACCCTGAATGCAGGGGCTTACACTAAAGCTGTTCAAGAACGGTATGTGTACGTAGCTGAAAAGAGCTTTCTTTGATCGTAAATAAACCGACTCACGCTAACCATCCAGGAGTGATATTCCAACAGACATGCTTTGTAAATATCTCTGTAGTGTTCGCTTAATTTTATTGTAAACCCAAAACAGTTCTATTAACTTTAAAAAGAAAGGGAATACATTTTCTGTATAGTAAGAATGTAATCACAACCGAATAAATCTCCATATCTGAAAAACAAACATCTCCATATCTAAAAAAGCCTTTAGAAAATATCAAATCCAAAGAATATATTCATTTTTGAGGATAGATTCTTGTGTGATCAGGAGTGAGGGGTTAACCTCTTCCTCAGTGTCCCCAACAACTGAGTGTTGTGTATTTCAAAATATATAGAATCACTGTAGGCATGTTTTCTTATTTAGTCATTTTCTAATTTATTTATAAATTATTTTACTTTTAAATTCCTTGGATGTGGTGTCCAACTTTCAATTATGTTATTAGAATCCCTGGAATCATTAAAAATCGATTCCATTAGAGGGCCCTCCCTGGTGGCGCAACAGCTTAAGGTACAGCACTGTGAAGCTAGCGGAGGCTGCTTCGACATGGGTTTGACCCCTGGCCATTGGGGTGGCCCACATGGCGTAGCTGACCTCTCCTGGTCTACCCGCTGCTCCCCTCAGGAGTGTGTTTTATCTGTCTGCTTGTTCTGCTCCCCACTCTGTCTCTGGTGAGTCCTCTCACTGCCCCTGCACCTCTGGCCTGTGCCCTGTTCTGTATGCATAAATAAATAAATCTTAAAAAAAAAAAATTCCACTGGAAATTCTGTTTCAGGTCTGCAGTATTCTGAGTGATAAATAAGAATGGGAATCAACTGGAATGCTTATGGCCATGACAGCTATGCTGTGGATCTTCAAATGCATTCTTCCTGATAATAACAACTCTTCAACACAACACTTACTTGAAGCTGATTTTCAAGGTCAAGGCTTATGAATGATTTGAAGATAGAAACAAATTGTAGTCAGCTCTTTTCCCTTCTTCCCTGTGATCTGTGACCACCAAGTAGTCTTGGGTCAACAGTGTCCTGTGATGGTCAGTGAAGGAAAAGAAGATGCTTTATCTCCCTACTTCCTTTCCCTCATGCTATTCACATCACTGCTAAACTTTATCCCTTCACAACTAGGTTTTTTATGTCTTACATATTCTCTGTTCTTATAGATACAAAGGCCTCTTTCAGTATCTGTTCTTTTTTTTTTAAAGATTATTTATTTATGCATACAGAACTGAGGCACAGGTCAAAGGTGCTGGGGGCAGTGAGAGGATTCATTAGAGACAGAGTGGGGAGCAGAACAGGCAGATCGACACTGCTGAGGGGAGCAGCGGGCGGGGGAGGCAGGAGAGGTCTTCTGCGCCATGTGGGTCCCCTCCCTGGTCAGGTTGAACCCGTACGACAGTGGCTGCAGCCAGCCTCATAGTGCTGTGCCTTAGCCTGCTACACCATCAGGAAGGGCCCTCAGTATCATCGTTTTTTATTCTTTACTGTTTCTTCTCACTTTTTGCCCAGATGCTTCAGGAAAATTCATTCCTTTCTTTCTATATATATTTTTTGTTTTGTGAACCAAATGCAACCATTGGCAATCAGAATTTTTTTTTTAAAGATTTATTTATTTATGCATACAGAACTGGGGTACAGGCTAGAGGTGCAGGGGAGGTGAGAATCTGGTCCTGGATTTTTATTTTTGGGGAGGGTTTTGATCACTTCTTCTATTTCCTTGCTTGTAATTGGTCTGTTT